TGTTACCACATTTTGTACTTTCTACTGTCACATGTACATAAGGGGTAGTTACCACACTTTGTTCTTTCTACTGTCGCATGTACATAAGGGGTGTTACCACACTTTGTACGTTTTACTGTCGCATGTACATAAGGGGATGTTACCAAACTTTGTACTTTCTACTGTCGCATGTACACAAGGGGAAGTTACCACACTTTGTACTTTCTACTGTTACATGAACATAAGGGGAAGTTGCCACACTTTGTTCTTTCTACTGTCACATGAACATAAGGGGATGTTGCCACACTTTGTACTTTCTACTGTCGCATGTAAATAAGGGGATGTTACCACACTTTGTTCTTTCTACTGTCACATGTACATAAGGGGTAGTTACCACTCTTTGTACTTTCTTCTGTCGCATGTACATAAGGGGATGTTACCACATTTTGTACTTTCTACTGTCTCATGTAAATAAGGGGATGTTACCACACTTTGTACTTTCTACTGTCACATGTACATAAGGGGATGTTGTCTTGTTTTGTTTTAAATTCATGCACACATAGTATAGGGCGCTAAATAAATGTTGTATATCATTATTATATGAAAATAATCGGGATAAATACAAATTATAGAAACATTATTCTATAATAGTCTTTTTGAATAAATAGGTGTTTAAAATATCTAAAAATAGTGTGTTTTTTAAAGCATTTTCAGTATTAGAAAACCATTTTTCTAGTTTATGTGGTGTATACATTTCAATATACATATAAAATGCCATTATATTTATCAAAATAATATCCTATTTCAATGCAAACACTAAGCAATTGATTGACTTTCAAATGTCACTCATTAATATTGAGCACTATATTTAACATAAACGAGCCATTCAGTCTACAATCAGGAATGGGTTGCCTTAATTTCTGCCAATTGACACATAGGAATCATGTGTAGTTTATGACGCATGCTCCAGTACATCTATATCTTTATGGACATTATTAGCGTTTTAGCGTTTTGATCAAGAAGCACTTTCTCTCATTTAGATGAGCAAGGTGGAAATAAGCATTAGGACACGGACTTAGATAATAAATCTAATTCCGTGATTAGGATAATAAGAAATATTATATTACATTGATATTTTAATGTAGAAAACGGTAAACTTATGTAATATTTAATACAAACAAACAGAAAATAGAGACATGCATAATTGCAAACGATCAAGCTTGACTGATTCTAAGGAAGGGAATAAGTGATTTTGGGGACACACAAGACTGATTTTACGAAATACATTTGTGATTAAGTTGAAAAAAATGTGCTTTTCTAGGGAGTCAACATAACCATCAAATCAACAAAGGCTGACGAAAAAACCCAAATCATCATGTTTCAGCCATTGAAGATGTTTATGGAATACACCTCAGTGCATGGTCTCGGACGCATCGCTACTGTGAAACATATAATACACAAACTGTTGTGGACCGTCCTCTTTCTTGCCTCTCTCGGGATGTGTATATACCAGGTTACTCGTTTGGGACAGCAATTCGTATCGTAAGTGTTTTTCTTTTAGGTTCCATTTTCATCAGAACTCTGCTTATTCGTATTCAAAATACTGTTGGTTATATTCTAAATAAATCTTTGTTTGAAAATTCTTATTGTTATATAATCGAAATTTTAAGATGTATATTTTATACATTTTACGTCATAATAACGATAAGACAATATCAATATGCCAAACATATGTTATACAGTGTATATATGCAGTCACATGTGGGTTTTCGATTTCTAAATCCATAACATGTCTTAATACATGGAAACAAAGAAGTGGATGCAATTATTAATTGTTAGACTGATTTGTTTATGACAAATCAAGCAAGATCGTTTTGCATATACTTACATGTATTTCACAGATGTCTTTTTATTGGCAAATAGGAAAACAATAGTATTAACTTTAGACCAACAAATAATCAGATTGAGTATCAACGTCTTTACATTTGCTTAGGAAGAGTAGGTTTTCGAGAAACTCTGGGAAAAGTCTGTGTAATAAATACTTGTAGCATAAATATGCCTATGTATTGTTTAATGGCTATCCCTTGCTGTTCTGCGATATTAGAGTTTTGATGGACCACACTAACAATTTTGTAATTCATGTTACTGATTGAAAAAAAAAAGATTGTTAAGACAAATTGTATTTATCTAAAACATATTACACATACTGATTAACCAATTAATAATTCTAATACTTAATCTTGGTGGTAATTAGGTCATGACATCCATGATTAAAATCCTCTTATCTTTATAGATGTATATTTCTCATATATTTACAAAAAACTACTACACCAATCCGAAGTTCTGACCCTTCTCCTAGTTAGTCAGTATTCTTTACAGACAGTATGTACACACACACATCGTGTCTACAAACAGTAAAGTTGGTCAATAAATTGATAGAGTAAATAATTTGAACGACTGACTAACTTATTTCATAACAATTATTGATAGGAGTAATGCTATGTATATACCGATTGACTTGTTGCTACCGTAGTTTACAGAGTATATTCTTTTATGTAAAAGTTATTCTTGTTGCATATACCATCTTTTTAGTTGCTATTTTGGTATTTGTTCGTACCTCTTAGCCGGCTTAGTTCTTACACGAATATCTCAATAAAGATATAAAGGTTGGTGAAGCTGTATGTAAAACAATGTAGTGATAGATATTACAGGATTCTCTAAAGGACAAAAGAATATTTTCAACCGAGTCAGGAGGCAATCCATCCGATCCAAAAAAATATCCCCGAGGAACAATGTTTCGTCTGTAAAATTGATCGGTATGAAATGAGGAATACAATTAAACAGGTGTCTATTGGATTTTGAACAATGATTTTTGTTCACACAATCGTTACTTGAGGAGATAGTTGTTGTTCATCACATGTAAATGTTTCCTGTTTTCCTTTCCTCTAAGGAAAATGTTTTACCATCCAGTACCAGCCTTAATAAAATTGTCATAGAGTTAGATTGTTGGTCCTTATCTTACACTTATCTTGAATGAACAAATAACATAGACCAAATGTGTGTTAACTATGATGCATATGACAATGTTATTATGGTAAATATTGTCTGAAGACACTAACTGGCATTCAAGTGTGCGTAGATACTCGAATACGTATTAAATAAATGCGTTAATACATATTTCAATGAAAATAAATTTGCTCGCATTGAAATAATTCAAAACCAATTTGGTAAGAATATGTCTATTGTCACCTTTTTTACAAACAGGTAAAACTTATTTGTATAGAAAATACTGAAAAAGTATTGAAATACATTATTTTCTTTGCGCATTAATTTAATCAATGTATTTTTGTTAGTTCATTGGTGGCGTATTGGTTGGAACTAAAGTATCTTTTTCTCGAAAATTGCGTTTCTTTCGTTGTGTATAAATTACAGACAGCTATGTTTTTTTCTTTCTTTCAAATGAACAAAAATGCATAGATGTCCAATATTTGCAATATACTTAATGTGGCCATGGTTTCATAAAAATGGAAAATACGTCGAAAAAAACACCGATTTCATACACCAGTTGGTACCTTAATGAAGATCAAATTCAAAACAAATAAAAAATAAAAAAAAAAGGAAAAGAAATAAAAAAACAAAAATCTTGTATCGTACGTATCAATCAAAATGATTAGATTTTAAACACATTATTACAAAGGCAATTTGTTAACTATCTATGAGTGACAAGGTAAAGTATATACCATATTAACGTTATTTATTGTTTTCGAAAATTCTAAGAAATTGTTGAGAATCAGATCATGTTAATGCCGTAATGTTTATGTATATTAAAATATTATATTGAAGCGTTTTTGATAGAATACCAAAGCTACATCATATATTGATCTTATTCTTACGCTATTGTATGGATCGATTGTTGTAGTAACCCGATCAGCACCACCATTTCACTTAAATATGAACCTCAGAAGTTCCCGTCTGTCTCCATATGTAACCTCAACCCTGCAAAGTTTTCCAAAATTGTTGGGATCCGGGAATTGCACCACATACTGCAGGAATCTTCCGATCACGGAACTATATCATTGGACAAATTTAGAAGCTTAAGCGGACTGACATTTCCGGTAAGTATATGGAGTTGTTTCGTGTAGATATATATCTGTAATATTGTGTTTTAAAATTCTTATTATGACTTCTTATCAGATTCTTTATAATTTTCCGTTTTGATCATTGGGTGACAGTATCATAGTAAGATACACATGCATGCAAATATGATCGTGCATATATTATAAGGTGCAAAAATGGTACTACATTTATATAAAAGAGATTTCAAACTTATGTTACTATTCATATAGAAACCAGTTCAATGATGTGCTTGAACTCTATTTTCAGCTGCCGAATTTCACATATACAGCAGACGAAAACTTCAATCTCAGTAAGCTTCTGTATTAATATGTTTTCTGATCGTAAGGGAAAATGATATGTTAATTTTGTTTTATAAAATGATGTAGCATCAAACATACTTGGGAACATTGATTCCAAATATAAGAGATTGTATTAAAAACACCACCTTACATTCGAACGTTAATTATATATAAAAACAACAGGCAGTTTAATCTTTATTTGTTGAAAGTGTTTTGGATAAAGGCACAAAACCTCGAGATGGTCGGAGCAGGCACAAACCTCGAGTTAGTCAGAGCAGGCCGTACAGATACAAACTTGAGTTAGTTAAAGCGAAAATAAACCTTGTGATAGTCGAAGTCAACACAAACCTCGCGTTTGCCAGAGCAGACACAAGCCTCCCGATAGCCGGATAGATACAAACTGAAGGTACAAATTGTAGTCGAAGCGAGCTCAAACTTCGAGATAGTCGAAGTAGGAATAAACCTTGAGATAGTCAAAATCAACACAAACCTCGAGTTTGTCGGAGCAGGCACAAGCCTCCCGATAGCCGGATAGATACAAACTGAAGGTACAAATTGTAGTCGAACCGAGCTCAAACTTCGAGATAGTCGAAGTAAGTACAAACCTTGAGCTAGTCGAAATCAACACAAACTTCGAGTTAGTCTGAGTAGGCACAAGCCTCCAGATAGTCGGGCAGGTAAAAAATCGAAGTAGTCGAAGCGAGCTCAAACTTCGAGATCATCGAAGTAAGAACCAACCTTGAGATAGTCGAAGTGAATACAAATCTCGAGTAAGTCGAATCGGGAGCAAGCTTCAAAATAATCTGAGCGAGCAAAACTCATCCTCGTTATCCAGGGGTTACGCTCACTTTCCTCTCTACACCCCTGGAATATGTCATAGCAAAAATTAAAGGCTCAGTGTGCGCCACCTTGTTGATGGGACAAGACGACTAGTTTGATCCTTTTATGTACATCAAAAGAATATCGCGGTCATGGAGCGGTAAAAATTGACAGGCTTTGAAGTCGGGCGTCTCTCCTTTGTTATCTTCAAAGGACAAGTATCAGCCTAGCGATTGGTCAGTTGTTGACCAATCAAGCAGCTATGTCCGTGCCTTCAATTTTGCTATGACATATCCCAGGGGTGTAGAGAGGAAAGTGAACGTAACCCACGGATATCGATAATGGCAAAAACCTGAACATAGTCAGGTCAGATACAAATCCCGAGACCTCGAGCTAGTCGAATCATTTTGTAAACTGCATAACGTAATTGTATGACAATCACCGTCATAGGACGTTCGTATTACCTCTATATTCTTCGTCCATCATTTACTTGTCATATGTAATAGCTCTGATCGTCGTCTATCATATATGTGTAAAACTACTCGTCTGTATTACCTCCGTGTCATTTGTCTATTAAATATGTGTAAAACTACTCGTCTGTATTACCTCCGTGTTCTTTATATATCATATATATGTAACACTACTCGTCTGTATTTCCTCCGTGTCCTTTATCTATTATATATGTGTAAAACTACTCGTCTGTATTGCCTCCGTGTCCTTTATCTATCATATATGTGTAACACTACTCGTCTGTATTGCCTCCGTGTCCTTTATCTATCATATATGTGTAACCACTACTCGTCTGTATTACCTCCGTGTCCTTTTTCTATCATATATGTGTAACACTACTCGTCTGTATAACCTCCGTGTCCTTTGTCTATTATATATGTGTAACACTAGTCGTCTGTATTCCCTCCGTGTCCTTTATCTATTATATATGTGTAACACTAGTCGTCTGTATTACCTCCGTGTCCTTTATCTACTATATATGAGTAAAAATACTCGTCTGTATTACCGCCGTGTCATTTGTCTATTATATATGTGTAAAACTACTCGTCTGTATTACCTCCGTGTCCTTTTTATATCATATATGTGTAACACTACTCGTCCGTATTACCTCCGTGTCCTTTATCTATTATATATGTGTAACACTACTCGTATGTATTACCTCCGTGTCCTTTATCTATTATATATGAGTAAAATTACTCGTCTGTATTACCTCCGTTTCATTTGTCTATTATATATGTGTAAAACTTCTCGTCTGTATTACCTCCGTGTCCTTTATCTATCATATATGTGTAACACTACTCGTCTGCATTACCTCCGTGTCCTTTATCTATTATATATGAGTAAAATTACTCGTCTGTATTACCTCCGTTTCATTTGTCTATTATATATGTGTAAAACTACTCGTCTGTATTACCTCCGTGTTCTTTATATATCATATATATGTAACACTACTCGTCTGTATTTCCTCCGTGTCCTTTATCTATCATATATGTGTAACAATACTCGTCTGGATTACCTCCGTGTCCTTTATCTATTAAATATGTGTAACACGACTCGTCTGTATTACCTCCGTGTCCTTTAACTATTATATATGAGTAAAAATACTCGTCTGTATTACCTCCGTGTCATTTGTCTATCTCGTCTGTATTACCTCCGTGTCCTTTATATATTATATATGAGTAAAAATACTCGTCTGTATTACCGCCGTGTCATTTGTCTATTATATATGTGTAAAGCTTCTCGTCTGTATTACCTCCGTGTCCTTTATATATCATATATGCGTAACACTACTCGTCTGTATAACCTCCGTGTCCTTTATCTATTTTATATGTGTAACACTCCTCGTCTGTATTACCTCCGTGTCCTTTATCTACTATATATGAGTAAAAATACTCGTCTGTATTACCGCCGTGTCATTTGTCTATTATATATGTGTAAAACTTCTCGTCTGTATTACCTCCGTGTCCTTTATATATTATATATGTGTAACACTACTCGTCTGTATTACCTTCGTGTCCTTTATCTATCATATATGTGTAACCACTACTCGTCTGTATTACCTCCGTGTCCTTTGTCTATTATATATGAGTAACACTACTCGTCTGTATTACCTCCGTGTCCTTCATCTATCATATATGTGTAACACTACTCGTCTGTATTGCCTCCGTGTCCTTTATCTATCATATATGTGTAACCACTACTCGTCTGTATTACCTCCGTGTCCTGTATATATCATATATGTGTAACACTACTCGTCTGTATAACCCCCGTGTCCTTTATATATCATATATGTGTAACACTTCTCGTCTGTATTACCTCCGTGTCCTTTATATATTATATATGTGTAACACTACTCGTCTGTATAACCTCCGTGTCCTTTGTCTATTATATATGTGTAACACTACTCGTCTGCATTACCTCCGTGTCCTTTATCTATTATATATGTGTAACACTAGTCGTCTGTATTACCTCCGTTTCCTTTATCTATTATATATGTGTAACACTAGTCGTCTGTATTACCTCCGTGTCCTTTATCTATTATATATGAGTAAAAATACTCGTCTGTATTACCTCCGTGTCATTTGTCTATTATATATGTGTAAAACTACTCGTCTGTATTACCTCCGTGTCCTTTATATATCATATATGTGTAACACTACTCGTCTGTATTACCTCCGTGTCCTTTGGCTATTATATATGTGTAACACTACTCGTCTGTATAACCTCCGTGTCCTTTATCTATTATATATTTGTAACACTACTCGTCTGTATTACCTCCGTGTCCTTTGTCTATTATATATGTGTAAAACTACTCGTCTGTATTACCTCCGTGTCCTTTACCTATTATATATGTGTAACACCACTCGTCTGTATTACTTCCGTGTCCTTTGTCTATTATATTTGAGTAAATCTCCTCGTCTGTATTACCTCTGTGTCCTTTATCTATCATATATGAGTAAAACTCCCCGTCTGTATTACCTCCGTGTCCTTTATATATCATATATGTGTAACACTACTCGTCTGTATTACCTCCGTGTCCTTTATCTATTATATATGTGTAACACCACTCGTCTGTATTACTTCCGTGTCCTTTGTCTATTATATTTGAGTAAATCTACTCGTCTGTATTACCTCTGTGTCCTTTATCTATCATATATGAGTAAAACTACCCGTCTGTATTACCTCCGTGTCCTTTATCTATTATATATGAGTAAAACTACTCGTCTGTATTACCTCCGTGTCCTTTGTCTAATATTTGAGTAAATCTCCTCGTCTGTATTACCTCTGTGTCCTTTATCTATCATATATGAGTAAAACTACTCGTCTGTATTACCTCCGTGTCCTTTATCTATTATTTATGAGTAAAACTACTCGTCTGTATTACCTCCGTGTCCTTTGTCTAATATTTGAGTAAATCTCCTCGTCTGTATTACCTCTGTGTCCTTTGTCTAATATTTGAGTAAAACTACTCGTCTGTATTATGTCTGTGTCCTTTGTCTATTATATTTGAGTAAATCTCCTCGTCTGTATTACCTCCGTGTCCTTTATCTATTATATATGAGTAAAACTACTTGTCTGTATTACCTCTGTATCCTTTGTCTATTATACGTGTGTAAGACTACGCATTGTTATCACCACTATGTTCTTTGTTCAGATCAGTACGACCGCCCGTTTGTATGACCGTCGTACTCACGTCTATCGTAGACCTTTTCGAACACACGTTTGTCTTACTGTTGTGTCTTTCGACCATTTCAGATCAATACGACCATCCCCTCGGCATGGCGAAGAAGCTGTTTGAAGCTCGTTTGGCGAACATGCCCATTGAAAATCTAACTGCCCTTAACGACGTGTTCGAGTTTTTCATAATGGACTGCAAATATAGAGGAATAAACTGTTACAAGCAGTATGTAATTTGGTCATTTTCCCCTTAGAAGGCTGAAGGATTATCTAAAATTTAGAAATATATAACGTGAAAAGATAATCCAACAGGATACAGGAAGTTAGCAGGCATACAATGTTTTTTTTACATAATAACAATTGTTTCTATGAGATTTGGAGGCGAAATAGGTCAAAACCAAAACATGAATTATACTTAGCGTTTTGACTATTCGAAGTCTTGAATGCAGCCAATAGCATAAACCTACGTACAAAAGAAATGTTTTTTGTTCAACTCATTACAATACAAGAAGAGACAATATACGTATACAGTACATACCATTCTGGTAAAACCCATATCAGCTCAGGTTTATTCAATATTTCAAAAAAGAAATATTGCGTGCGGAACTATTTGTACTTATATTTGCGTCATAGCATGTCCTTAAATAGCATTAACTGATGATAGGAGGCTTAACCGTTAAAACTACGGTAACATTTTCCTGTCTAAGGTATTCTAAACGTTAAAACTACGGTTACATTTTCCTGTCTAAGGTATTTTAAACGTTAAAACTACGGTAACATTCTCCTGTGTACAGTATTTTAAACGTTGAAACCACGGTAACATTTTCCTGTGTACAGTATTTTAAACGTTAAAACTACGGTAACATTTTCCTGTGTAAGGTATTTGAAACGTTAAAACTACGGTAAAATTTTCCTGTGTAATGTATTTTAAACGTTAAAACTACGGTAACATTCTCCTGTGTACAGTATTTTAAACGTTGAAACCACGGTAACATTTTCCTGTGTACAGTATTTTAAACGTTAAAACTACGGTAACATTTTCCTTTGTAAGGTATTTGAAACGTTAAAACTACGGTAACATTTTCCTGTGTACAGTATTTTAAACGTTAAAACTACGGTAGCATTTGCCTGTGTACAGTATTTTAAACGTTAAAACTACAATAACATTTCCTGTGTACAGTATTTTAAACGTTAAAACTACGGTTACATTTTCCTGTGTAATGTATTTTAAACGTTAAAACTACGATAACATTCTCCTGTGTACAGTATTTTAAACGTTAAAAATACGTAAACATTTTCCCGTGTAAGGTATTTTAAACGTTAAAACTACGGTAACATTTTCCCGTGTAAGGTATTTTAAACGTTAAAACTACGGTAACATTTTCCTGTGTACAGTATTTCAAACGTTAAAACTACGATAGCATTTTCCTGTGTACAGTATTTTAAACGTTAAAACTACAATAACATTTCCTGTGAACAGTATTTTAAACGTTAAAACTACAATAACATTTCCTGTGTACAGTATTTTAAACGTTAAAACTATGGTAACATTTTTCCTGTGTAATGTATTTTAAACGTTAAAACTACGATAACATTCTCCTGTGTACAGTATTTTAAACGTTAAAACTACGGTAACATTTTCCTGTGTAAGGTATTTTAAACGTTAAAACTACGGTTACATGTTCCTGTGTCAGTATTTTAAACGTTAAAACTACGGTAACATTTTCCTGCATTCAATATTTTAAACGTTAAAACTACGCAAGGGTTTTCCTGGAAAAATATTGAATAACATTAAAACTACGGTTACATTTTCCTGTGTAATGTATTTTAAACGTTAAAACTACAATAACATTTCTTGTGTACAGTATTTTAAACGTTAAAACTACGGTAACATTTTCCTGTGTATAATATTTTAAACGTTAAAACTACGGTAACATTTTCCTGTGTACAGTATTTTTAACGTTAAAATTACGGTAACATTTTATTTTTAACTTAATGTTTTTATGATGCTTCATTTGCAGGAATTTCACCGTTGTTCGCGATGGCCATCGCATTTGTTACAGAATGAACAATGATTTGTCCCATATAGAAACTGCTGGCCCTGATGACGGTAAATACATTTATACCGTTAGTAATGTTTAGTGTTCAAATCAAACGTGAAGTGTTCAAATAAAATATTTAGTGTTCAAATCAAATGTTTAGTGTCGAAATCAAATGTTTAGTGTCGAAATCAAATGTTTAGTGTTCATATCAAATAGTTAGTGTTCAAATCAAATATTTAGTGTTCAAATCAAATGTTTAGTGTCCAAATCAAATGTTAAGTGTTCAAATCAAATGTTCAGCGTTCAAATCAAATGTTAAGTTTCCAAATCAAATGTTAAGTGTTCAACTCAAATGTTCAGTGTTCAAATCAAATGTTAGATTTCCAAATCAAATGTTAAGAAACACGTGCTACCATAAAGCAACATGCACTCCCCAAAACAGTGGTTATTTATTTAGAAAGTAATGAGTAACATATCTATGTTGTATTGTAATTATCGAAAAACAGGATCTAAAAGTGTTTGATAGTACGAGGACCTCTGTATTGTGACGAACTTTTCTCAATTTGCTACCGAATCTTGACGTTCAAGTGGTGAAATATGGTTAAAAGATATCGGAAAGTATCATCAAATTCGAAGCAACTAAAACCCGTTAAAAGTAAAAACAAAACGTTTGTGAATATAAAGGTAATTGCAATACACTATTTACAAATTACTGAGCAAGTCAATTACATGTATAAATACCTGACGAATGCTATATTCAATACTTGCTATGAAGCTTACCGAGTGCCATGTTATCCTAAGCTCTCATCATTCATCAATCGTGCTACTCTATGCTGTGACTTTGTTCTGCCTGATTTAACAGGACTTGAACTGATCATATCTGTTGGACAATCGGAGTTCATTCCTTTTGTGACTGAATCTGCTGGAGTGCGAGTCATTATACAGGATGACGGCGCTGATATATTTTCTGGAAACGGCTTCAATCTTCCCACCGGTTTCGAAATCGACATTGGCGTTTCGGTGGTAGGTATCAATAATTAATAAAAATAATGATAATTTATAAAGGATAGTAAATGATAATAAATAGTTTATCAATATGTTTGTTTCGATTTCTAAAATCTCCGTGGCGATTATGGAGACCAAATTAGCGAAGTGATAAATATGTAAGACAAACAAGTACATATATCATACATCAAAGTATAAATTTGGACATATAAGTCATCTATTAAGTACGTAATGACACGTTACGTAAACAATGTTCGTTTGATTGTTTAAGTCTTTACCAGATGTAATATCACATAACGACAGTATACGTTTCTAATGGGGCTACTGGATTGCTATTTTATCAGGCTTCGTACCATGACGATTGTCATACCATAAATACTAATACAGGAATATTTGCCCTATACACTGTCATATTGTGACCACAGCCTAATCGAAGATTGAAGGTTGCAATTGGGAAAACAGATTAAGCTTAATGTGTTTGGTGTCAACTATAAGTACCCTTTACAGAAAATATTTCGAGGACAACTCTACAGGGCAGGGATTTAGAAAATGCATTAGTATGAGGCGACTAATGAGGGGAACACCTGCATAATTTGGAATTTGTTTCTTGCCTCTACACAAAAATGACAAATCTTAATCTTGTGTCTCTGTGCTTGACGTTCAACTTTCAGTTGAGAGCGATAAGGACTGGTTTCCATCAGATCCGTGCTTTCGCAGGGAGGTTAATACAAAATACCGACTCCAGCATTCACATATACATTACATTCATGGACGGAAGTACTTAAATGACCTAAGTTGTGAATAAGACATTAAACTGAATGAACCAACCAAACCAAACCCCTCGGGGTGGACAAGTGCCACGCGATGAACGGGAATCAATACATTGTAATCATAACGTGATCCTGACGGAAACTAATTCGGTCCTTATCTTTATCTTACCACGATAAGATTAAACTCAAATCAGCTAAAATTGATTGTTTTAAATAATACATTAATGAATCAGTAGAAATTCGCTGTTTATTTGAACTAAATATTGCGGCATTGTATTAATGTATATATACAAAGTGTGGAACACAGACGCAGTATACATACGTTTAATTTTGTCATGAACATGATCTATATGCGCATAAAAATTAAAAGGAAATCTCGAAAGCCAGAAACTCAAACCAATGGCAAGCATGTAAGAATCTTACTCCGCTATTTCTACGCTATGACACTCAAATCATCTACCAGGGATGAAAATCAACGCTTAAAACTACAACATCATTTATGATTTTAAAATAACAATGTAAGCCCCTTATCTTTATGTTTTACTTATATACAAACAATGATAACATTACAAACTTCTATGTAAATCTATAGTCTGAGACATACAGAGAGGCGGGGCCAGATCAGCGCTGTGTGGAAAACAGTCTCTGGCAAAGAAAATTGGTAAGTCAATACCTTACTATAATAATATTTATTATTTTGTAAATTATTTTTTATTTTATTGATTAATTTATTAATATCGTGTGTGTGATTATGGTGTGAATTTTACATTATAAACCTTTTTATACTTTGGTTGCGGAAGTGGAGCATTGCTTCAATTGTAAATATTAAGGCACACAGGTCAACGAAGTAGTACGATATGGTAACATCAATTAAAAAGGTTATTATTTTCATTTTTACACCCGATGAATCAAGTATAAAATGTAGATAGTGTTGATAACATAAAGTTCCAGATAATATGCACTTCTGTGTAGTCTTGATGGAGGTCCAAAGGTGAAGACAGTGGGTCGTTATTTCAAAATGAATAGTTTGAAGAGAAATTAAACGCAGACATTAAAGTTTAAATACATGTTCGCGGTAGACTCGTGCCAAATCCATCGTCTATTTTGTATTCTAATAGGCTTGTTTGATGAACTGTTCCATTGCACACGCAACAAAACACTGTCGGTGTGCACCATACCATGGCTACAGCGTGGACATCAAAGACACATGTATTACAGTGGACGGTAAGTAATAACGTTGTGGTGATAGTAGTGGTGATAGTAGTAGTAGTAGTAGTAGTAGTAGTAGTAGTAGTAGTAGTAGTAGTAGTAGTAATAATCGGAATCGTAGTAGTAGTAGTAGTAATAGTAGTAGTAGTAGTAGTAGTAGTAGTAGTAGTAGTAGTAGTAGTAGTAGTAGTAGTAGTAGTAGTAGTAGTAGTAGTAGTAGTAGTAGTA